TCTGTGAGCCAATTCGAGTGGAAGTAAAGCAGAAGTGAATATATAACCCTTTTACAGACCCCAGTTATGCTGATGACATGATCATCATTCCGAAAAATGCCAGTGAAACAGATGATGCTAGAAAGCTCAATGAAGAGAATAGGTAGGGAGACAAGAAAAAAGAAATTCAATTCATAAAGTCTCGTGGTACGGTGGAAAGCGAAGGAAATCAGACCTTTCCTTAATTACAGACACGTCTTCAGCTAAGAGTTTTGCTGGATGAAAAACAACATGAGAAGGAATTGGACAAGAGAAGGGCAAACGAGCACGCCACTTTTGTTCGTCTCAGAGAGGCCACTCACTGATCGACTGACAAAACGAATGTAACAAACAAAACAAAACGAACGAATTTTTTGACTCGACAGTGCTGCTGCTTGTCAGTTATGAAACAGAGACACGAGTCCATGCTTGGACCGCTTCAATAATTCTACATGCCACCCACAAGGCGTTAAAAGACATACTATGAAATATAACATCCAGTCGAAACACGCACTTTAAAGGTTTATTTCAATGATATTCCGTCTTCTGGATCCAGAGGAATACACATCGTAAGCGAAGGATGTCCCGGTCTTTGATGAGAAGAGGTTGCAACAGTTGGACGAAAAATTACATTGCATGGGACCCAAAAAGGTTCAAAACCCGCTAAAAGATCCTCCTATAAGAATGGCAGAACTGTTTTGTGGCTCCTGCCAAGTGGCTGTATTCGCACTAGGGCCTTTACTACTCGTGACGATGGGCCGCATGGTCAACAGTCTGGTACAATAAGCAACGGAGAAAAACCAATATTTATTACGCCACCTTTCAGAAACCTGTATTTTGAATAAGAATGTTTAGAAGCGACAATCTTCTCGTTCATCGATAACTGGGAAAACGTCTTAATCAACAAGGACGCGTGTAGCGTAGTGGTTAGCCTTGCGATACATACTGGATCAGTCGCTGGTTTGGTCTCGTAACCCAGGCTCAACAAGCCTTTCATCCATCAGGAGCCTACTGGACTTTTCTGGGAGGATGCAAATACTGACCTGATACATCGGTAACTTCCTGGAAGCCACTGTATAGGCCAAATATGCACTCGTTCACCCCTAAGACACTTGATTGAGGTGGAAGGCATGGCGCACTCCTTAGGGAATCGTCAACGCTAAACGTTTCATCCTTCAGCCTTCGAACTTTGTCAACGAATTCAAAACTACTTTTTTAAATATGAAAGTCGATCGTGGCATCTATGACAGAGTTTGTTTTCATTCTATAATAGGTCACCATCGATTTCCAAAAGCAGAGTGTTCTCTATCCGTGGGCATTTCAACAGAAGAGTTCAGAGAGTATTTTCTCTCAGTCCCATGCTGGATTTTGCTACTGGAGATCGAAATGTGGTATTTAATAGGAATCTGGGCCTGTTGACCTCCGCTCCCTTTTCCAGATGCTCTAATGCTTTCACTTTGTTCGTTTTTCCTTTACCAATAGCATGATTCACATATTTCAAATATTTCAATATATTATTATATAATATATATATTATATATTAATATATATATACATATTATATATTATTATTATATATTATTATTATATAATATATTATATAATATATAATATAATATATATAATATTATTATATTTCAATATTTCAATATTTTAATATTTAATATAATATTCAAATAATTTCCAGACTATCTGAAGATCGAGCAGTTTAGGCACTCCTTTAAGAGAGCCATTAGCTGCTGGATGGACAAGCCATGCATATTTATTCTTCCTTCATGTTCAACAAGAAGTTCGAAGATGGCTTGCATTGCGGAGTCATTCGATACGTTGGTGTACAGTGCGGTAACGTCGAAAGACTCCGCGCAAATAAGGGGGTTGGCAATGGAACAGCGATTGGCACCAAGCCTGGCCATTGTGTTTATGTCTAAGATAGAAGCCCCTGTTCTCGATCTCCGGCCACTACTCTACTGCAGATATGTAGATGATTGTTTTGTCGTCTTCTCTACGCAGGAGGAGATGGACAAATGCTTTGAATTATTGAACGAGCAGTCCGAGTACATAAAGTTCACCCGGGAGAAACCGAGAGAAAACTGGCTTCCGTTTTTGGACGTCCAAATAAACCTATCAAGTAGCGGTTACCTGACAAAGTGGTATCGAAAGCCAAGTAACAAGAACATCCTTGTTCATTTCCTTTCTTCCCACTCTTCACACACAAAGATGGCGATTGTGAGAAACATGTTTCGAACAGCCACCTTTGTGTGCACTACCAGGNATCTGAAGATCGAGCAGTTTAGGCACTCCTTTAAGAGAGCCATTAGCTGCTGGATGGACAAGCCATGCATATTTATTCTTCCTTCATGTTCAACAAGAAGTTCGAAGATGGCTTGCATTGCGGAGTCATTCGATACGTTGGTGTACAGTGCGGTAACGTCGAAAGACTCCGCGCAAATAAGGGGGTTGGCAATGGAACAGCGATTGGCACCAAGCCTGGCCATTGTGTTTATGTCTAAGATAGAAGC